ATCTGTAATTTGTAAAAATCGAAGAATGTGTAAGGCAGAACAAGGATAGTAATTAGATTCTATCTAAACGTGTAACGAAAAACAAAATTTAAAAATTCGAAAGTTACCTTCGATTTTAATGATTATACGGTTTAGTGTCTCTGTAATAAAATATGTTCCACCATACTACGCTTCTAGGGGAAAAAAAACGTCTTTTCGCGTTCTCTGAACTACGAGTTGTAAAAGTATATGTAGTTGCGCGATTTCCTTTAGAGTTTATAACTTTCTCGTGCTGTTGTTATTGTTGTTTTACTTAAATTACATCTCTTTTTTTTTTACTTTTCCATACTCACTAGGCTACCATTCTTTCATATTTAAGCATAACACTATTGCACTAAATTATTATAGATTCGTGTGTTAAATATAATTATTGGTTATTTATTTATGTATTTAGGTAAAAAGACGTTGCTAAGAAATTTTTAACTTTAGGCCTAAAATCTTTAATTCAAGCGTATAGAGCTGTTCACAAACGTTGAAAACTGGAAAATAATCTGGACAACTACGCTTCGCCCCCTAGTGGCTCAGCGGTAAAGATCTAGTTTCTATTCACATGACGAGCGTAGATAGCCCATTGAGTAGCTTTGCACTTAAACACAAAGAGAAAGTGAATGGGTTTAATTTTTTTGGTTTGTAGTTGTACAATGTAGTAACATAACATTAGTAGTTACTTCATGCTAATGTTGTCAATAAATCTCGAACTAACAACAGTTTTAAAGAGCATTTTGGATTATAACTGATTCGATTTGTATATTCTGTCGTCAATGTTTTTACATAAAAAACATATCTCCACTACAGACACATTTTTATGTTTTAAGTTAAGTATAGAGATAAAATAAACAATTAAATGAAACGAAGTCCTGATTTATCTCATGTTTTCTTGATGTTGAAATACAATCAATCAAATAACTTCGATTACTTATAAAAAAGTTTTTATCACGTCACTGACTTTTCTAGTGTCGTTAAATTGATGTAAGAAAATGTTATAATAATACCAGATAGCCAAAATCCAAAAAATATAGCATTTGGTATAGTACATAAACAAATTTCTTCCTTATTCTCACTGTGCATAGTACGGCAGAGAGCAAAGTGTATTAGCTATTAAACAGATGTAATAAGAAATTCTAGTTTCTAGGCTTTAAATAACAAGGTCGTAAGAAGAAGAAGAAGAAAACTCTAAGTTCACTAGTACAACCTTAAAATTTATATACTTGTAATATATTGTTTTCAAAAGTCATAATGCACGGAATTAACGAAGTTCTTAGTTTCCCACTCATTAAAAACATTCCGAGAACAAATATATTAAATATTTGATTTGAAACGAGAAAGAAAAAATCTTACTGTGTTGGTTGGTTGGTTGTTTGGTGCTTAATGGCGCAAAGCAACGAGGCTATCTGCGCCAAACAACCGGTAAAAACAGTGAAAGTAAATTAAAGTAAAATGTAAAAATACAGCGAGTTAAAACCAATATGTTGATAAAAGATTTATATATAATTAAAAAGGCCTATAGTGTGTAAAAATTAAAAATACAATCTAATCGGACAGTGTCA